TCAGCTGGAGCTGGGTTATGGATTTGTGTGATGGCAGGAGTCCCCTCCCAGCTCTGCCAGCTCACACAAGGGATCACACAAGAAATTATCACACCTGACCTTTCTCCAGCGCCCTTCTAGAACATGCCCTGGCCTTCTCAGAGGGCACACAGAACCTCCAACCTCTTCTCCTAAGTGGAAAGCTCATCACTTTATCAGCTGATGAACTGCAAGTGGAGATCTCAGCTGGGCCCCACAGCAGAGGAGCTGCTGGAGCTCCAAAGGGCTTTTCAAGAGAACAAAGCTGCTCTGATAACAGCAGCTTCAAGCCCAAACAGAGGCTCTTGCAGAGCAAATCACCCTCTCAGCAGTCTGTGCCTAGGGGCAGAAGGAGATGCAGGACACTCCCAGCATCAGCACCCCAGGAAGAGGGGAAAACACAGATTGGAGAAATAAAAACACTTTCACCCAGCAACTTCTCCCTCCCTGGCTCTCTTCTCCCCCAGGTAAGGGCATCCAAATGTCAGCTCAGCAAATCCTGGCCCAGCTAAGGCTGGCTGATTCCTCCTCCTCCTCCTCCAGATGCATTCAGCCAGAGGCTGTGCCAGCCTGTGAAGGCTGACCTACCAACAAAAGGTAATCAAGGAAGATCAAATAGCACTGAAAAACCCCCACAAAATGGTAAGGGAAGAGGGATGGGGATACTGGAGCAGCATCAGTGAGAGTGGGAAAGGGCAAGAGAAACCCAAACAGTCACACCTGATGCAGCAGGCTCTGCAAAAAGGGAAAATCCCTTGTGTCCAGGCAATAACTGGGCTGGCACAGCCTGGCACAAAAAGATGCTTCAAGTGTGATCTTGATTAGCTCATGTGCTCCAGGCTGTGTTTGAAGGGAGCTGTGGCTAATCTTCTTTTGATTGCCTTAAAATCCAGCTGTGGGGGAAAGCCTGGCATGTGATCAGATATATTAATGGGTTAGGGGCAGCCTTGTCTCCTAAGCTGGTATTTGATTAAAAGGGAGCACAACCAACAGGCACTTCAAAAAGCTGCTGCTATTTTTGGCTGCTTCATTTGGAGCAGTTCCTGATGCTTGGATGTGCCCAGCAAACCCTTTGGGACCGATCCTTGCTATATCATTATTCACATTTTAAGGATGTGTGAGTACAGAGAAAAGAGATTCACTTCCTCCTGAGAGGCTCAGATCAAAAGTCAAAATGTTTTCTATGAATGCATAAGACATAAATTCAGCTTCTGAGGGTTTCAGTCTCAATTTGTAAGAGCCCCGTGGCCTTAAGAGGAGGCCTCTCTACCCTACAGAGCTGGGAAATGGTGTTTAGGTAACTACAAAGCAGATTCAGCAAGCAGGCTTTAGGCAAAAAAAAGTCAGAAAACAATGTCTAGGGGGAATAAATTATTTTCTTCCCTCCTTCCAATTCATTATAATCTTTTTTTCCCCCCCTATACTTTTAATAATGATCTGAAAAGCCATTTTCCTGCACAATGTTGTTCTGACCTTGTTTTCAGCCGGGTAATTGTGCAGTGAGTGGATAAATGCTTTCTCAGCTGAGAACAAGAGGAACCATTAAGCATCAAGCTCCTGACCTAAATTTACATTCAGGGCAGCTGGAGGAGCAAAGGACTGATGCCTGTTCCCCTTATCAGCCTGAGGGACACCCTGTAGATGGCATCTTCCTCAGGGACACCCCGATGGCACAGGGAGATGCTGTTTGTCCCAAAGCAACCCAAGCAAGGTGTCCCTGCCCACGCCAGGGGATTGGAATGAGGTGATATTCAAGGTCCCTTCCAAACCAAACCTTCCATGATTCCATGGGAAAACACAAAACCTGCTGCCCACCAGCTCCTTCTGCCCAAATGATTCCATGATTTGGGAACAAAACACAAAACCTGCTGCCCATCAGCTCCTCCTGCCCAAACCATTCCATGAGTTGGGAGCAAAACACAAAACCTGCTGCCCATCAGCTCCTCCTGCCCAAACCATTCCATGAGTTGGGAGCAAAACACAAAACCTGCTGCCCATCAGCTCCTCCTGCCCAAACCATTCCATGGTTCTATGGTAAAACACAAAACCTGCTGCCCACCAGCTCCTCCTGCCCAAATCATTCCATGAGTTGGGAGCAAAACACAAAACCTGCTGCCCATCAGCTCCTCCTGCCCAAATCATTCCATGATTCCAATGCAAAACACAAAACCTGGGGCCCATCAGCTCCTCCTGCCCAAATCATTCCATGATTCCAATGCAAAACACAAAACCTGCTGCCCATCAGCTCCTCCTGCCCAAACCAGTCCATGGTTCTATGGTAAAACACAAAACCTGTTGCCCACCAGCTCCTCCTGCCCAAATCATTCCATGAGTTGGGAGCAAAACACAAAACCTGCTGCCCATCAGCTCCTCCTGCCCAAACCATTCCATGATTCCAATGCAAAACACAAAACCTGCTGCCCATCAGCTCCTCCTGCCCAAACCATTCCATGGTTCTATGGTAAAACACAAAACCTGCTGCCCATCAGCTCCTCCTGCCCAAACCATTCCAGATTTGGGAGTAAAACACAAAACCTGCTGCCCATCAGCTCCTCCTGCCCAAACCATTCCATGATTTGGGAACAAAGCACAAAACCTGCTGCCCACCAGCTCCTCCTGCCCAAACCATTCCATGGTTCTAAGGTAAAACACAAAACCTGCTGCCCATCAGCTCCTCCTGCCCAAACCATTCCATGAGTTGGGAGCAAAACACAAAACCTGCTGTTCATCAGCTCCTCCTGCCCAAACCATTCCATGGTTCCAATGCAAAACACAAAACCTGCTGCCCATCAGCTCCTCCTGCCTTGCTGATGCTTAGTGGCCAAAACTGAACCAGGTCCCCTTTTCCCAATTTTTTTTATTCCCCAGGAGGAAAGGGTGTCTGGAGGGAGATTCAGCTTCAATGATTCACAGTGTTTGGAAGCAGAGGATCTTTAAGAAAAACAAACAGAAAACCAAACCGTGTCTTTTCCTTCCTTCTGTGCCAATGCCTTTAGAAAAGTTCTCTTACTTCAGGTGAAATCCAGTTCTTTCCTCTGTAACATTTTCTTGGAATGCATCAGAAACAGCAGCTGCCTTGCCCCTGAGCCCAAATCAGAACAAAACTTGAAGATTTCCAGGCTCCTGAGTTACCCCTGGGTTTTGTTTTGGTTGCAGCACCCCAGCTCCCAAGTCCTTGTGGCTGTGTCAGGATGGGAGGAAAGGAAAGGTGTTCACTTTGCCTCTGTTCCTGTCACACCAGGCACAGGGACGGGGTAATTTTGGGACTGTGTTGAGGAAAGTGCTGGCTGCCTCCGATGTTCCCAAGAGGGAGATGCAGGAAAACACTTGATCCACAAAAAACCATGACTGCAGGAATGGCCTCATCAGCCCAGCAGGAGGCTCAGGTGCAGTTAATCCAGATTTAAAGGTGGGAATGGTTAAAGCATCCTCTCCTGATGGAAGCACCTCCTGGGGAGCCAGGGAATGGCACCACGGGCTAAATAAAGGACCACAGGAGCAAAGTGACACATTTCTACTGCCGGGGTTTTTTTCCCAAATGACTGGGTTCTCACTTCTCTCTCATTTTCTTTCTTAGGGAGAATGGGAAAGGTTCTTTTTCCACAAAGCTCCCTTTTCAATTAAGTTTGCTAGAGTTTTGTTTTCTGTAGGATTTCTCTATCTGTAGAACTTGTGAGGACGAGGAGACTGAGAAATGCACAAACATCTGTAGCAACCCCATAACCCTCCCTATGGACATTCACAAGCCCAGGCCCTTTCCCATCCCAAAAGAATCCCATGCAAGCCAGAGCTGGACCATCCCTCACCACAGAACCAACCACTGCCGAAAAATTCCCATTTTCTGGAGAGCACACATGGATTGAAAGACCCCTGACCCCCCCAAATGAAAAGCCACATCTACCCACTATCAGAGTCAAAATCCTTTCAAATGGTGAAGGCAACACACGTACAAAAAGAGGCTGCAGACGTCAGATTGAAGGTTTTGTTCTTTTTTTCTTTTTTTATTACAAAAAAAAAAAAAAAAAAAAAGAAACCTATTGAGAAGAAGTCCATATGCAACGGAATATAACTGGCACCATCTAAGATACCCAAGTGTAAAATCCCAGAACGTCTGAACCCCCCCAGCAGCAGCTGGGAGTGCCAGGGCTGGCTGGGAGGGCCAGGTGGCCTCTCCCTTCCCTTCTCCTAGCCCCCATCATCCTGGCTGGATGGCAGGCAGCCCGAGAGAGCCAGGACACAACAGTGGCATCAACGGTCTCTGTAAAACCATTCAGTCAGAGAAACTAAGAACATTAATTATGAAAAAAAAATCTAAAACTTCTCTTCTTTTTTTTCTTCTTTTTTTTTTTGTTTGTTTTGTTTTAACCTTTATCCAAAGCCCTGCTTTAGTGACATGCTAGCCTTGCTGGACAGGTGACACAGCCACAGCTCTGTCCAGAACGCTGTTGACCAGTCAACTCTTGGTTCAGGACACCTTCCTCCCACTCCGAGCGTGTCACGGCCACCTGAATTACAGTAACAAATGCTTCTGCAGGCTTCCTGCTCTGGGAACCCCCTCCTGCAAGCTCCACTCCATGCTGGAACAAATCTCATCCCAGTCTCCCTCCGAGCTCACCCTCAGTCCCACCTGCATCCGACTGCATCCGCAAGAGCTCTGCCTGCTCTGGCTGGATGAGGCGTTGGAACATCATCTCTTCCAAGGAAAAAACACTTTCATATATAATTTTTTTTTTTTTGCTGTTTTTATATTTAAATAGAAAAATACTACTTCACTCTGTGTTATGAGCCAGAGATGGGTTGACTTCCAGTGACAGAACCAAGAGTTCTCCTCAATGCCAGAAGATTCCCAGAAACCTCAGAGTGGCCGGAGGGCGACGATGTCCCCGTCACGTCCCCAAATAAATGGGAGCGCACGCACAGCTCCCGTCACCACAGCTCCCATCTTCCCTTCTCCACAGAGAGGCACCAACCTCAGACAGCCATCAGTCAGCAGTAGGGCTGGCCCCCCAAATCTGGCTCTGTTTTAAGCTTTCTCCTCTCCTACATGTTTTCTGCGTGTGCAGTCTGTCCCTGGAAGCCACAGGATCCCATCGGATGTACACATGAATTAGACAAAAAAAAAAATAAAACAGTGGTTAAAAGTTCTCTAACACCCCGTCCTCCTCTCCTCTTCCGAAGAGTCAACGACAAACAGACACGGATAAAACTAAACCTGCCCTCCTCCCCCACCTCAAGACAACAAGAGTTACTGAGACAGGAAACATGTTATCTTGTACCCTCGGGATTACAGCTAGAAGGGAACTTTAGGGGCGCGGGGAGCGCGGGGGGGAGGCGGCGGCGGCGGCAGCCGCGGGGCGCAGTCTGCTCAGTTCTTGTACTCAAAAGGCTCGTCCCCAGTTTCGTTGAGGAGACACGTGCGGACCAGCGCCTCTGTCACGGCGTAGGGGTCGCAGTTGGCCGAGGGCCGGCGGTCCTCGAAGTAGCCCTTCTTCTCGTGGCCCACGTTGCGCGGGATGCGGATGCTGGCGCCGCGGTTGGCCACGCCGGCAGAGAACTCGTTGATGTTGGAGGTCTCGTGGAAGCCCGTCAGGCGCCGGGCATTGTCCAGCCCCCCCTTGGGGTCGTAGGCGCGGATGTGGTACTGGTGGCGCTTGCTCAGCTTCTCGATGGCCTCCTCGATGTGCCTGCAGAGGGAGGGAGGGAGGGAGGGAGGGAGGGACAGGGGTGGCACAGTGAGGGATGGGATGAGCTGAATGCCTCTGGAGCTGAATGCCTCTGGACTGTCGTGTCAAAGTGACAGCAAGATTAATCAGAGTCCCCAAGGCACTTTGTGATAATGCCTTGTGCCCCACAGCCCACTTGGCTGTTCATCCCAAGAGAAACAGGGGTTTCTCTTCTCTCCTGCTGCTGACCCAGAAAAGTCCTCGTGGCCAAATCCCACAGGCTCCCAGAGAGTGTCATCTGTGAGACGCCACCAATTAAACCTCCCACTTCCCACTTCTTAGACAGGAGAGATCGCAACACTGGTGTTTCTATTCATGAAGCTCACAGAGTCCTGTTATCTCAGGGCAGCACTAAGATTATGACAAAAAAACAGAACTCCAGAGCTGCCAGGATGGATCCCTCCACGCAGCTCCAGTGACACAGTGTCCCTGACTGCACAGCAGTCATGTGCAGGAACTCACAGTTTGCATTTTTAGGATGTTCATCTCTTAAGAAAACATGGCAGCCTTGCCCAGATGAAGCAAATGGTCTTTCTCTTTCATCATGGCTATAAAAATATAATTTAAAAAGCCCTGTGCTGAGTTGGTTTGTTTGTTTGTTCCCAGCACTGGGAGGTCAGGAGCTGGACAGGCTGTTAGAGATAGCTGCATCCTGTACTGGTGGAGCTGTACTGCTGGCTGAATTGCCCACCAAGCATCAAGACAAGAATGTGTCATTATAAAAAAAAAATACATACTAAGAAAAAAAAGAAACCACAAAACCAGAACAACCAAAAAAACCCTATCCAGAAGACTCAGATGTCACACCAAGCACCAAAATCATCCAATATCCTGCTGCCTAGTAAACAACCCAAACACTTACTTGAGACCTCCTTCTTCCCTCATGCTCTTGGTGCTGAAGTTGGTGTGGCAGCCAGCACCGTTCCAGTTCCCAGGAATGGGTTTGGGATCGAAGGACACCACGACCCCGAAGTCCTCGCACACCCGGTGCAGGATGAAGCGTGCGATCCAGAGGTGATCGCCCATCTCAATCCCCTCGCATGGTCCCACCTGGAACTCCCACTGCAAGGAGGAGGTGTCAGGGGCTCAGTGGGGTGGAGACAGGCACCTCCCACCCCCTGATGCTGGACACAGCCACACAGCTCAGAGCAGGCACACACAGCTCCCCCTGCCTGGGGTTTTTCCATGCTACTCTCTCACTCCATGAAGCATCTTAGAATGATTTACCTGGGCTGGCATCACTTCTGCGTTGGTTCCTCCGATTTTCACGCCAGCATAAAGGCACGCTCGGTAGTGGGCCTCCACAATGTCCCTGCCATAGGCTTTGTCTGCCCCCACACCGCAGTAATACGGACCTGCAACAGCACAGGGCAACATCAGCCTCCACAGGGAAAAACCCTGACATCCAGTGAACACCCAGCACACACAGAGAACTCTTCACAAGCCCCAAGGTGTGTTTTTCATGGAAGAACTGGCAGGGTAGAATACTGACGGAGAGCAAGTTCACCCCGAGTTTAAGTCTGCTCCTGAGTTTAAGTCCCCTGCAGACCAACAAACCCAGCAGCAAATTTGGATGTGGCCAATCCACACCTCAGCCTTTCTGTGACAAATTTAATCTCATGGTAGTTTTGCCAATATTCCACTTTCTACCATCCACCTTCGGTTCTAGGAACACCTTGGAGCCCTCAACTCGTCTGAAGCTGTGCCACACAGATTTCAGTTCAAACACTCCTGACTTGCTCCAGGCTCCCAAAAGATTACCTTGGGGTCCAGGGAAGCCATTGGAAGGCCAGCCAAATGGATGTCCGTCTGTCCCCAAGAGAGTGTACTCCTGCTCCATCCCAAACCAGGGGTGCTGGTTGGACACCATGTCCATAATCCTCCTGCAGGTGTGCCGGAGATTTGACTCTGGAATGGAAAATCGACACGAGGCTCATGAGCGATGCCACCTCCACTCCCCATTTCCACTTATTTCACACTTTGAGTCCCAGCAGCGTTGAAGAATCCCAAGCCCAGCCCTTTAGTCCATCACCAGCGCTTCGTTTGCCCTCTACTTTCACGTTATTTCTGTGTCATGCTAAGGGCACAGACAGCATCAGGCAGGGTTCCCATTCCCCTTCCCAGGAACACCACCTCCACCAGGAGAAGGGAAGGAGGGAGAAGGTCCATTCAGTCACCTGCAGACTGGCGGTTGTACTTGAAGACCTCACAGAGAACGAGTTTATTGGGGTCCTTGCGGAAAGGGTCCCGAAACATGGCAGCAGGTCGCAGGTACATGTCACTGTTGGAGCCTTCGGACTGGTAGGTGCTGGAGCCATCGAAATTCCACTCAGGGAGATCTGGAGCAAAGAGAGGAACCAGCCACAGTGACCCATGGGCTCCCTGCTGCCCACCAGGAAGATAGAGGTGAAGATGCTCATAGAGAATAGGTTTATCCCAGCTCAGCTGATTTTGTTCCAAGTGGGAGAAGCAAAAAAAAAAAAAAACCCAACAAACCCAAAACAAGCAAAAAAATGACAGGAGTGCAAGTCCCCAGCCACCCTGGAAAATAACAAGTTGCTGGGCTGCTGGCCAAGCCTGAGTGAACAGAGTAGCGCTGAGGACATTTCCCATGTCACAACAACCACAGGGATGAGCAAAGCACCTGGTCCCATCAGCTGGGAGAGACCACGAGCCACCTTCCAGCTGTGGGAATGAGGGGAGCCATGAAATACCCTCAATCAAGCTACAAGGCCTTAAGAAGGTGGGAAGGCAAATCATAGAGAGGTGGAATCTCACATGGAAGGGGAGTATGGCCCCTTGCCCACCCCTCCATCCTGAGCACTGCCCTCCAGGTCAAAGCCCAGAAGTCCACCCGGACAATGTTATCTCCTCCATATCCCAGGGAGAAAGAGGGAGGATGGGAAGCACAAAGATTTCCAAGGAGCTGTGCCAACCACTCCCTCAGAGGGAAAAGGGGAAAGGAGAGAGGGGAAAAGAAAAAAAAAAAGAAAAAAAAAAAAAGGAAAGAAAAAAGATAATTCTGCTCAGTCACACACAGTATTTTCATTTCATAACTGTCTCCAGCCAGCTCCATGGCAACCTGGGGAAAATCCTAATGCTATTATTGTGTAAGCTGGGACTGTTTGTTCTGAGGGACACAAGCTCTTAATTACACCGGATAGCTCCATTCTTTCCCCTGCACTTTCTTCTGCCAAACTACTTCCGGCCAAAACGAGTACTCAAGAGTCAATGGGCAGCCCAGCCCCTGCCAACAGCCCCCAGCCCCTGCCAGCAGCCCCTCCACGGCAGGGACAGCACCAAGGACGGGCTCCCAGCCCCAGGCATCTCCCTGAAACTCCACATCTGGAGAGATGGGAACATCTCCCTGAGGTATATGGGGAAAGAGGTAACTGGAAGGGCACGAGGTGGAATGTCTGCCCTAAAAACCATCCTTCTGCCACGGGAAGAGAGAAATGGCATCCTTCCTCCACCCAGTGAGGGGCTACGAGTGCTGCACCTGCCCTCTCACCTTCCAGGCTCTTGGGCTCGTGGTCCAGCGTGCGGGTTTTGCAGCGGAGGTGCTCCCCCGTGCCGTCGATCCAGATGTACATGGCCTGCACCTTCTCCCCCTGCGGCAGCTTCATGTACATGTGCTTGATGGCTTTGCTCAGGTGGGAGCTCGCTGAGGTGGCCATGGCTGCAGTCCTGACGAGGGGGTTCCTGCAGGGGGGAGTCACAAACAGCCCCAGCTGTGAGCCCTTTCCTGCGTGCCCACATTTTCCCGCAGCCCCCCTTCCCCACCCAAGGCCAGGGAGGAGCAGGAGACAGCTTGGCCACAGGGCTGGCTGCCATCTCCAGCGGTTCCCTGTCATTCTTCAGGGAGAACACACAGCAGCTCAGGCTAGCCCTGCTCCAGAAACCCTTCAAAACACCAAACTGCTGCTAATAAACGAGAGCAACAGACTTCCAAAGGGCTCCTTAGCCCCACATGAACTTTTCACCTCCACACTCTGCTCAAGAGCAAAGCTAATGCAAGGAAAGCTTAGCTGGGGCTTTCTTAATAAATCTGCATCATCGAGGAGGGCTTTTCTGCCCCAGCTGCCTTCTCAGCCCGGCTGAGGTTATCCAAGCCCGGTGCCAGGGCAGCAGGAAAAGCAACAGGCAGCACACAGGAGCCCTGAGCACCCCAGGCAGCAGTGGGGAGCGGGATGGGCCGGGGTGGCTCTAGAACCAGTGCGTGGGAGCTGCAGCATCCCCAGAGCCCTGCGGGCCGGGCTCTATCGCCAGCCAGCCCACTCGTGCCGACCCACAGCACCGGCTGATTTCCAGGGAGCTTGGGAATGCCGGCACTTTGGGAATGCGGACTGACTGGGGAAGTCGCTCCAACATCCCTGCGGGATGAGCCGTCCCCAGCCCACCCCGCCGCGGCTCCCCCTGCCCCGCTGCCCTGTCAGAGGCATCTCCCACGCGTGCCTCCCCAGGCAGCCTCGTGGGGGTAAAAAAACCCACAAAAGCTGCAAAGGGAATGTTTTCAACAGCAAACTCAAGCTGCCTCTTCCTCCTCCCCCCCCCCCCCCGCCCCATCCTCCCCTTCCCCCAAAGGAGGAATTTTCCCTTGGAAGATCTCCCCGGAGCTGCCTCCCCGGCCCTGCCGAGCCCGGGGGGCTGCGGCGGGTGGCGGGCAGCGGTGTCCCCGTGTCCCCCCGGGCCGGTACCTGCGCTCGGCGGCGGCTGCGGGCGGGCGCGGGGCTCCCACGCTCGGCTCCCGGGGCCGCGCCCGCCGCCCCTTTATGGCGGAGCAGCGCCGGCCCCGCCGCACGGATTGGGCAGCGCGGCGGGACGGGAGGGACACGGCAGGGGGGACAGGGCCACCACCCCGCCTCCCTCCTCCTCCTCCTCCTCCTCCTCCTTCGGCCCGGCCGCCCCCGGCAAAGGGGCGCTCGGGTGGGTGCGGAAAAGTGAGGGAAGAGAGGGCAGAGAGCGGAGAGATTGGGTGGGTTTGGGGTGTTTTTAACAGCGCTGCCGACTGGAAAAACAACCTCTCGTCCCTGGGCGGGCGGGAGCGGATCCAAGGCTTTCGGCAGCGTTTACATTAGGCTGCCTTGGCAGAGCTGGCAGGGATGGAAACCGGCCGCCCCGGAAAAACAGGGAGAGAGGGAGGCATGGAGCTCCACCGAGCCCCTCTGGCTTGGTGCCGGCTCTTGGGAGAGGGACAAAAGCCTCGGTGCCCCCCTTGTCCTCCTTGGAGCGGGTCACAGCCTCCAGCAGCTGGATCTGTAGAGCCTCGCTGCAAGGATCACTCGAGGGGGGAGAAATCCCTCAGCCCCACCATGGGAGCGCCCAGCGAACCGCAGGCAGTGCCCAGTGTTTTTCCACAATGTCCGGGTCTCTACCCCACAGGGTCGCTTGTCCCATCTCCTGCAGCTCCAGGAGACGGAACAAGAAACTCGTGCAAGTCCCATCCCGGATCCAAGGGGCGGGAGAGCCATGCCAGCAGGAGCAGACGGAGCTGGCAGCCGTGTGTGCACACACCAGGGCACACGCAGGTCCCAGGGCCAGCACACGCCACCCACACGCCTGCCACGGAGCCACAGGATCCGGCTGTGCCCCGTGCCAGCCTCAGGAGGTGGCACCAGAACTGCCATTCCTCGAGAAACTGGAGCCTCCCAGCCATCCCAGCTACACTGCCTCGGACACGGCCACTGTGCAGCCAGAATCCAGAGGGAAAGTGGCCAGGGAAGAGCCGGATCCTCAGGAGGGAGGAGGTGGAAGTGCTGGCCAAAACCACACTTTGATTTATCACCCATCTCAAGAGCCAGATCCCCACCCTCCCTGCGGGGACAACTTGGCTCAGTCCTCACCAGCACCTTGGAGCAGCCATGGGTGTGTGGCAATCCCCCGAGGCTGTCCAGAACGAGGTGAAATTCGGGTGCTTTTCTCCTCCTGGAATTGCTTGGGCAAGGCAGAGCCACCGAGCATTGCAACAGCCTGCCCTGAGCGCCCCAGAAAGCGCCTCCTGCCAGCACCAGCCCTGCTCCTGCACCCTGAGCACAGAGAAATGGCTCCAACGCACAAACAAACCAACGAACGTGGTGTTTTACCCTGGGAAATGAGCTCAGCAACTCACGTTCAGCCCAAGTTCAGCTGTGGTCACCCAAATCTAACAGCTCAGCTGGAGTAAAAGGAAGCAGAGCAGGAGCAGGAGCCCAAAATAGCTCCCATAAAGGGGAGCTGTCAAGCCACAGGCAACGTAAAGCAGTGTCCAGCCCTCTTCCCTAGGTCTGTGGAGGGTTTCTTTAATCTGAGACCTCTGACAGCTCCAAATTCTTGGAATTACGGTTGCTACCTGCACATTTCCCAGTAACTCTGTCCACCTTTGCCTTCGAACACACCCAGATGTTTACAAGAGGAGGCCCCTGAGCAGTGGGGTGACCCCCGTGCCCCGCAAGCCTCGGGGCTGGGAAGCTCCAGCCAACCCTGAAGGCAAGGGGGGGAGCAAAGGCAGCTGGACAACATAAACATCATCTCTCCATCCCAAAAATCCACACCGGGCCGCAAACCCCAGCCAGGCGGAGACCCCCAGGCTGGGCAGGGCTGTGGTGGCGGGGGTGGCAGGATGGAGCTGCCAGCCCCGGAGGGTTTGCTGGCTGGCTCATGGCCAAGCCCCTGTGCTCGCCCTGCGAGCCGGAGAGAAGCGGCAGCCGCGGACCCAGCGCCCTCTCCCGGGAAGCGTTCCCGGGCCTCCTCGCTGGGCTCACCCGGCTTGTTTACCTCCTGCCTTCCTTCCTCTCCTCCCCTTCCAGCCTGGCCTTTTTTTTTTTTAATTTATTTTTTAATTATTTTTTTATTATTGTAATTTTTTTGTTATTGTAAATTTTTTAATTATTGTAAAATTTTTTAAATTTAATTTAGTTCCTTTTAAATTTTTTTTTAATTTCTTAATTTTTTTTAAAGCCTGCTCAGGCTGTGCTTTTTAAAATTTAATTTAGTTTATTTTTTTCTTATTTTTTCTTTTTTAAAATTTTTAAAATTATTTTTTGGGAAAGCCTGCTTGGGCTGTGTTTTGGTCCCGCTGCATGCTCCAGTGACCCCCGGTGTCGCTGAATAATTTTTAAATTTTTTTTTTGCTCAGGCTGTGCTTTTTAAAATTTAATTGGCCCAGCTGTGTGCTCCAGTGACCCTCGGTGTTGCTTAATAATTTTTAAATTATTTTTTGGGGAAAGCCTGCTCAGGCTGTGCTTTTTAAAAAATTAATTTAGTTTCTTCTTTTTTAAACTTTTTTAAATTTTTTTTTTTGAAAGCCTGGTCAGGCTGTGCTTTGGCCCAGCTGTGTGCTCCAGTGACCCCCAATGTCGCTGAATAGTTTTTAAATTTTTTTTTGGGAAAGCCTGCTCGAGCTGTGCTTTTTAAATATTTAATTTAGCTTCTTTTTTTAAAAAAAATTTAAATTATTTTTTTGGGAAAGCCTGCTCGGGCTGTGCTTTGGCCCAGCTGCGTGCCCGAGTGACCCCCGGTGTCACCAGCAAAACCCTCCTGGGGGGCAGCTGGGGAGGGCTCGGTGCCAACGGTGACACCACCCAGGAGTGGATTGAAATCCACCTTCAAAGGGCCACAGGCACAGCCAGAGAGTGAGACAATGTCCTCTTCCAGGGGTGAGTCCCAACTGGCTCAGGTTTTTCCTTCTTCCTGCTGTTAAGTCGTGGGAACACCTTTATTGCCTTTATTGGCCTTTATTGGCCTGGCCCGGCGCTTCCCGCCAGCACAGTTTGATATCCTGAGACAAGTGCCAAGGTTGGGAAGTGGCCGCTGAGTTAGGAGGGTTGGGCAGGCTGGACTTTGCAGCCTCCTGCCTCCTCAGGGACAGGGCACAGCCATGTCCCTGTGCTCTCCAGGGAAGCTGTGGGAGCAGGATGAGTTTCTCCCAGCTAGCATAAGGAATTCCTCCCCTTTTTCAGCTCCAGCCAGCAGCTGGGCAGTAAAGGATCAAGGCTTCCCTCTGCACTGTGCCTTGCTGGGGCTGCTGTGAGCCATCCCTTGTCTGTGTGTCCCCCTCCATCCCTGTCTTCCATTTGGGAATGCCTTAAAATGCAGAAATGTCACACTATTGGGGGGGTAGGGGGGTGGGTGGGAAGAGGAGGGTGGCAACTTGAGGGTTAAATAGATAGGATATGAAATTTCCATGTGGCTGATGGCTTTTGGGGACTTTGCCAGCACTGTGATCCTCAGCCCAGACCCAGGGATCTCAAACCCAACAGATTGCAGACCCAGACTGCTAAGCCCAGGTACCCACTGGTCTTTCACCAGCACTAAAGAAAAATCCTAAAGAAAGGAATGTTGTTATTTTGGGTTTTTTCCCCCAACAGAGATGTCACAGAGGGAAGAGGAATTGCCCATTTTGTTGCTATCCCAGGTCCCAGGAGAAGGCTGAACACACCCAAAATGCCCCAGCCTCCAGCAGTGGCACAGCTGGGAGGGAGGAGGGATGGGCATCATGGAATCCCAGAATGCTTTGGTTTGGTTTGGAGGGGACCTGAAGGTCATCAAGTCCAACCCTGTGCAATGAGCAGGAACATCTTCAGCATCTCTCCTCTCCCCATGCTCAACAGTCAAGATACTCCTAAATTGAGCTAAATAAGGTGGCTGTGCTCAGCTGGGGCTGGGCTCTTTCTCCAACAGCACTGACACAACCAGAGCACACAGCCTCAAGCTGTACCAAGGGAAATACAGGTTGGATATCAGGATAAAGTTTTTCACAGAAAGAGTGATAAAGTTCTGGAATGACTGCTCAGGGAGGAGGTGGAGTAACCATCCCTGGGTGTGTTTAACAAAGCCTGGATGTGGCACTGGGTGCCAGGGTTGAGTTGAGGTGTTAGGGCTGGGTTGGACTCGATGATCTTGGAGGTCTCTTCCAGCCTGGTCATTCTGTGATTCTGTAACTTTCAGATGCATCCAGGGAAGTGCTTTGTGCTGGGAGGCCCTGCATGAGCAACTGAACTGCACCCAAGTGACCTCAGCCACGGGCTGCCTGTCCTGATATTGCATCACCTCCACCCCTGCCCACCCCTGGGCACAGCTGCCTCTGCCTGGACTCATGCCAGCAGCTCCTGGTGGCCTCCTGAGGTGCTCCCAGCCTGGCACACCTGGACATGCAGCACGTTTCACCCAGGGCTGGAAAATCCAAGCCAACACCCGAGCCAGCGCTTAGCTCAGAAGTGACCGAGCCCCCGTGGGGTTTGGGGGACGAGGGCCCTGGGGGCACTGACCTTGTGCAAGCAGCAGTGGCTGAGCAGTGTCCCCCGGAGCGCTGCAGGACGCTGACGAAACCCCCCAGGGCAGGCAGGCAGCAGCTGCTGGCCCTGGCTGTGAGCAAACATTGCACGCTCCGCAGCAGCCCCATGCTCCCTTTGAAGATGCTGCCAGGGTCAAGGGTGGCCGTGGGCTGGTGGCCAGAGGGCTTTCAGCCTTTCCAGAGCAGATCACCTGGGCCAGTTTAGGAAAGCAAATTAATCAGTGCAAACTTGCAGAGGCACATGCAGAACGAAAAAAAGAACCCTCCCTCCTCATTCAGCTCCCTGGACTACGCATAAGAGGGAAGAGGGACCTTGGGCATTCAGCCTTTCCAGAGCAGATCACCTGGGCTGCCCGAAAGGGCAGTTTAGGAAAGCAAATTAATCAGTGCAACTTGCAGCGGCACACTCAGAGTGAAAGAAAACACCCCTCCCTCCTCATTCACTCCCTGGACCATGCACAGAGGGAAGAAGGACCTTGGGCATTCAGCCTTTCCAGAGCAGATCACCTGGGCCAGTCTAGGAAAGCAAATTAATCAGTGCAAACTTGCAGAGGCACACTCAGAGTGAAAGAAAAAAAACCCTCCCTCCTCATTCAGCTCCCTGGACCATGCACAGGGGGAAGAGGGAACTTGGGGCACGGCCCCCAGGACAGCCCAGGTGCTGGCACCAGTTTCTTTCTTCAATTAGGCAAAAAGACACCTCATAGGACTTTGGGGACTTCACCTCAAATTTAAGGACAGCTAATGGGACAGGAGCCAAAATTCTTGCCTAAGCAATTCACTAGAAAAAGAAGAGCACAAAGGAACTAATTGCTTTTGTGGGGTGTTTCACCAGGAGCAAGAACCTCTTGCACCTGGCTCAGGTTTTCTCTGTAAGGAGTTTTGTTATTTTGCCTTTTATTAAAACTTTTCTGCTTCCAAAACTAAAAAAAAAAAAAATAAAAAAAAATTCAAAGATTTTTTTCCTTTTTAAAAAGACAAAAAATAGTAACAAGAAGCAAATTCCTACAGCCACCTCCATCCCCACCCCTCTCTGAGCCACCTGTCCCCATGCCCACCTGTGAAAAATGTGTATTTTATGATTGGCTTTTTGGAAATATTCAAATGAATATTATATGTGTTATGTGTTAGAAAGTTATGTGTTATTTTCTATATATATATAAATTATGTATTAATTCTCTTAAGTAGTGTGTTAAATATAGTTTTAGGTTATAACATAATGTTAAAATAGCAACTATGCTATATAAGATATTTTTTTAAAGAAAGGACTTGCAGCGAGATAGCAGCCACAGGACACCTAATCCAAATTGTCCACAATTTTTATTCCTCTCATTATATTGCTATTTTTCTAACCATTTTATTACTATTCAACTTTTAAAAGCGAGTCATTGGCGTTTTTGACACCACTGCTCGGCTTGGCACCCTCCCAGGAGCCCCTGGCGCTGCCCCATGCCCCAGCAGCCCCCTGCCCAGATCCAGGGGCACTCCCGGCTGCCAGCCCCTACCTGCTGTGCTCTGCAGAGCTTGCCCTGGGGCCAGCACCTTCCCCGAGCACGTGCTCGCCTCCAGCAGCAGCCAAGGGGGGAAGCTGGAAGATGAGAACGTCAGGGGCAGGCGGGATTTGAGACCCAGGAATTGCCTGGCTCAGTTCGTTCTGTACATGGGTGGAGAATAGCCCAGGGAGAGCTCAGCACATGCCTTTCCTTGCTGCTGGAAATTGGTCAGGGTTGTTTTTGTTGGGATTTCCCCCCCTCATTTTCAGTTCACACTCTTTAAAAGCACTCCCAGCCAGGTTGGGGCTGTGTTGGCTACGGCTGGCACGTTAATCTCAGCCTAACACAACTCACATCTCCATAAGGGAGAGGGCAGAAATTCTCAAAACTGCTGCCTGAGTGGATGAAGTGGTGAATCTGGGCCTGACATTGTAAATTATACAACAACAACAACAAAATTAAAATAATATTAATTATAAAAATTACAAATTATTAATTATAACAGCAAAGTGCTGCTGCCCACGTCCCTCCCTCATGGCTGAATTAGGTCCCTGTCCTGCCACAACACATATTTAACCCAGGCTGCTGAAGTCAACAGCCCCAGAGGCTGGGGTAAGGTTACACCAGTGGTTCTGCTTCAGCTGGAGGGCAGACAAGTGAAGGCAGAGCCTGCCACAGGGGCTGTCAGCTGTAAGGGACAGTCCCAAGCAAGGAAACCACAGACAGATGGCAACAGACTCAAAAATACTCCCCAAGGAAACACCAGTGGGGTGCTTGCTGAGCAAACAGATCTCATGTACTCAGGAGACTGAGCATGGAAATCACATGTGAAAAATCATTGTAGTGTGTTCAAGAAAAAAAATCATATTTAAGGCTGAGCTGGAATTCCTCAGCCTTGGGAAATTCCACTTTTAAGGCGCTGTGGGCCTAATGTCCTATAAACTATTTATATGAAAAAAGCATGAGGCTGTACAGGGGGGGGAAATTCCAAATTTTCCCCCAAAAGCTTGTGGTGAGGACATACTTATATACTTATATTTAATACTTGTGCTAAGGGGGAGAGCAGGTTTGTGCACTCAGGCTGGAGCTCCCCAGATTTCTGGCTCTGCAGACCATCACCCAGAGCCAGAGCAATGCTGAGGTGTTTGGGGTGTGTGAGAAACACCCCCCAGCCTCCTGATGGCACCAGAAGGGCCAGGCTGGGCTGCTGGGGGGGCTGTGAGTGCCCAGTGACCCCAGGCAGTGAGGCTGACATTGTGTTTGGGCAGCCTTGGACTTTGCCACGCTGGGGAGCAGTGCCAGCTGCTGTTGGGCAAGGAGAAAAACCCCAGCCCATCCCCTCTGGTAACAGGAGGCTCTGCCCCTCATCACCCCAGGGCTGCTCCCCACGTCAGGGTGGGTGATTTGGGCTGGGCCAGAGGGGCAGCAAAGCCCTCCTGACGTGGTTGATGTTTGCAACCCTGCCCTTAGCTTTTTATGGAGTCCAGCTACTCCTTCTAAATCTGGGCTCTGCTCCTGTGTCCACTTCTTTTTTCCAAACTTTTTTTGTTGGGTTTTTTTTGTTTTTTTCCTAAATAGCACCCAGCTCACGTGAGCTCCTCTTGTGAGGACACCATGTGCCCTGGAAAAACCTGGGAAGCCAGGAGAGGAGAGCTCAATCCTGCCAGACCTCCTGGGGTCTCCTCTTGGGGAGAAACTCCATGGAAATGGCCCTGTGTCCTCCCACAGTGACCATGTTGGCCAATTCCTGCTCACAACCTTATTTTTTTTCCTGGCAGAAGCCCTCACAGTCCCACTGAAGCCAGTCCAGAGCAGGATGAGCACCCAAGGAGCCACCCCAGACTCTGAGGATCCTACTGGGCATCTGCTCAGTTGCCAACTAGAAAATGTGTTATTTTTTTTAAGTTTTGACCTTTCTGTGAGGATTTTTGAGTCTTTTAGGTGTGAGACAGCCACCACTCCAGTCCATTCCTGTCCCCCCTCTCATCTCTAGGGCTCAGCTGCAGAAATCTTTATGGATCCATGATGGGAGCTGCTCCTCCCCAGGGTGTTCCATAACTCCTTCCCACAGCTCTGCCTGGCACCCCTGCGACGAGCAGCTGTTCTGTGGCTCACAGCTGCCCCTTCCCCACCTCACCTTGGGTTTTGGCACAGTGACCAGCCCCAGTGTCAGCTCGGAGCTGTCCCTGGCTCTGTCTGAGATGCAGAGCCCTGCTGCTGCTGCTGCTGCTGGGGACGGCTCTGCATTCCTGGTTTGACAGCGCCACCTCGTGAGGTGGCCCCGCTGCTGGGGACACTGTGGGACACTGTCCTGCCCCCAGGTCTGGCACAGAGACCAGATGCAGGATCAAACACCCACCTGGGGAGCAGATTCCTCCTCCTGCCAGGGGAACAGCTCACTCCTGCTGCAGGACGGGGCTCCTTCTTTTCCTCCTCCTCCTCTTCCAGCTGCAGGGTCTCCAAGGGTGGGTGTCAGCCCCAGATCTGGTGAAGAAAGACAGCAGATAGGAAATGTTATGTTTGGGGCAGACACAGAGGGGTCTCCTGTGAAATTCCCATCCCAAGCTGAGCAGATGAACTGACAGTGACCACACGCAGCACTTAGGTGCCACCAGGAACCTGCTCTGAAGGCAAGAAATTTGCCCCAGCAGGGAGAGGGGAAAGGTTTTGTGGCATTTACACTCTCTGAAAAAAATTCTTTTGTTTAAGATTTTGCTCTTGAGAAGCTAAGAAGCTTCAAAACAAAGAAATTTCTTACTTCATTTGCTTCTCCTGTGATGTGCTTGTGTGTAGAATGTGTTTGAAAATTGTTTACCCACAAGTGATTATTTCATTAGTCTCCAGTGTAAGTTGTTTTAACTCATTAGCCAGTCAGGGCCAAGCTGTGTCAAAACTCTAGAAAGAGTCAGGGATTTTCATTATTATCTGTTCAGCATTCTGTATCTTTTCTGTATTCTTTAGTTTAGTATAGTATTCTTTAATATAATATAGTATCATAAAGTAATAAATTAACCTTCTAAAAACATAGAATAAAATGCATCATTCCTGCCTTTGTTGGAGCAGTTTCCCAACAAATCCAACAGGGTTTCATTTCAGGACTGCCCAAGTGTGCCTGCAGGGCTGGTGATTTCAAAAGTGACATTTCACAGCATCACAGGATGGGTAAGGTCACAAGGGACCACCTGAGTCCAACACCTCAGCTCAAGCAGGGTCCCCTGAGCCCAGTACTGAGGATTGTGCCCAGATATCAGCATATTGTGCCCAGTACTGAGGATTATGCCCAGATGGTTCTCAAATATCTCCACTAAGGGAGGCTCCACAACCTCTCAGAGCAACCTGTTCCAGTGCTCAGTTACCATCACAGTGAAGAAGCTTTTCCTCATGTCCAGGTGGGAATTCCTCTGTTCCAGTTGCTGCTCATCCCATTGCACGGCAGCACCGAGAGCAGCCTGGCTTCCACCCCCTGCACATCCCCTCTCCAGGCACATACAGGCACTGCTCAGATCCTCTCTCAGTGCTCTCCTCTGCAGGATAAGCAGGCCTGGAGGGAGCTGCTGAGAGCCCTGCAGCTCCCCAGGAGTCACCCAAACAAGTGTGTCACAATCAGGGTGGCACTTCGGAACGCAGCACCGGAACACTGCACCATCATGATGACTGCTGGTGAGTTCCCCTTTGCTGGGGGCTTCAGCCCCTCTAAACACACCCCAAAAGGTGGAAAAAGGGGGGGAAAAAGCAGGATTAAGTTTTGAAATATAGGTCCTCCCCCTGCAGCACAGCTGTGCCTTGATGGAAGAGGGCATTTCCAGGGGCACCCAGCCACCAGCAGGCTGATGCCAGCACACCTTCCTGCATCCAGATCTTCCAGAAATGAATAAAACTTCACAGGGTAGTGGGAGGTGTTGGCCACTGACACTTGCACTGAGTCCTGGGTGAATAAGCTGTGTTATTCCCAGTGTCTGGGTGGGGCAGAGGAGCACAGCTTGTGCCCTGCAGCCACCTCCCTTCTCCTGCCCTATGGATGCCACCACACTTGTGCCCAGCCTCTGTGAACCTTTGCTGTTTGGGAGGCTGCCATTCAAACTCCCCAGCTCCTGCATGCTCCTGAACCTGGTGCTTCCCAAAGAGCCTCTGCCACACATCCCAAATCACATTTCACAGATTGTCCCAGCTCCAAATCCTCCCCCTGCATGAGCACAGGACAAGCTTGTACCTCACATCTCCCAAAGCTGATTCCCTCCCAGAACTCCTCCTCTGGCTCACAGCTGGCCACACAAAGCCCAGGTAACTTTCTCTTCTCCCCCTGTAGCATCCATAGCCTCCACGGACATGGGGCTGCTGCTGCAAGATGATGTTTTTGTTGACTTTTTCAACATCTTTCTGAGCCTTCCCGTAAGTCCACTCTGCACCATCAAACCTGAAGCCGTTCAGAGCCCTCCTCAGGTGAACTTTGTGTGGCATTAGAGGCTGCAGGAAAACTGGGAGTTCACCACATTCAGGCTGGAAAATGAGGGAAACCTGAGGATCTCAGCTTGGAGATAAAGGGTCTAAAAGGGAATTTGATGCCCTTCTGTGTAGTGGGAATTAACTAGAACAGCTGGGCTCTGTGCTCCTCTGCCACCCTCCATCTCTTTCAGCTCTCCCTTTGTGTTTTAATGCAGATTTTTGGGCAGACGCCCCTTTACATCAGTGGCATGGGCCGGTGGTGCCTGTGGCCAGAGCTGCCGAGCCACCTGGTGAGAACTTGTTAGAAGGGAGGAGCGGGAGGAAGGGCACAGGGCAGGGGAGGGAAGGAGCCGGTTTGGCACTTCCAGGGCCCCTCTCTGGCTCTCTGTTCGTGCAGCTGTGAGCGATCATTTCAACCCCGGCCGTCGTTTCGCTGTTAAGCCCTGGGCGGAGCACGATCCATTTAAAGTCCTGCTGCAGTTTATGGGGTCTATCCATAAACACCGAGAGCATGTGTGGCGGCACAGAGGGACACAAACATCATCCCCTTGTCCTGGATCCCTCCTGAGTTCAACAGGAGCCAAGCCCTGCTGGTCACTGGGCTGGCTCAGCCCTCCCTCCCCACTCGTGCCCGTTCCCCACAGCCCTTGCAGCGCTCAGATCCCAAAGCAAACAGGAACCCCCGCTCCTCTGGAAGCCCCCGGGGAGCTGCCATGCCTGGGCTCTGGGAAGGCGGGTGAGGAAGAGGAAGGAAGCCCTGCAGGAGCTCGTTTTGGGCACGGGCAGCGGCTGTAACAGGAGTATCCCCCTTGTGCCTCAGCACCACCATCGCCATAAAGCAACAGGGCTCCTTCCCCACCTCCTCCCCCGTACCAGGGACCTGTTACTCACCCTAAAAGCCCAGCAGGATCCTGCTCCTTGCTCGCAGCTAATCCTCTCCTTGGGCACCGCAGGATGCCAGCCCCGCGGCTTTGCTGGCTTGGTTGGAAAAGCACCGTCTGCCTCACTTCTGCAAATCCAGCCTGTGCCTGCACCTCGTCCTCTGCCAGAAGCTGCTGGCTTTCATTCGCTCGGGGGAAGCAGGTGAGTCATCGCGGCACGGAGGAAATCGGATCGGCTGCTCCTCTCGCTGCGGGGCTGGCACTGCCAGTGCCTGCCCACTGGGTCGTGCCTCTGCTCCGGCTTAGGAAGGCGTTGCACATCCCATTTTTAGGGATGTGCAGGGGTTTACCCCAGCACGCTGTTATAAAAGTACCTGCCCAGCAGGGTTTACTGAGGGGTCCAGGGGTGGAGCGGGGCTGGAGAGCATCGTGGGGCACGGGAATGCCGATGGTTTGGGTTTGCTGCTGGGCAGGGATGCTTTGGGAGGACAGGCTATGATCTCTCTCACTGGCAACAGCTCGGGATTTTGCTCACTTTGCCCCTAAAATGAGTCTTCTCGGTCCAGCCAGGTATTTCCTCAGCCTGTGTGTCAATTGCCACTGGAAAGAAAGCTGTGGCAGCAGGAATAGTGATTCTCATTTCAGAAAAATAAGCAATTCACCGAGGCTTTTCCTAAGTACATTGCTGCTGCTTCTCCAGTCGGGTTGAAACTCAAAGTTGGAGGAAATTGAGGGCAAACCCCAAACTCAGGACAGAAAAGATGAGCCTTTGCAAGGAAGAGAGGCACAAGAGCAGGACACGCTGTCCCAGACAGGAGCGAGTTATCCTTGCAAACAACCCGTGTGCATCCCACAGCCTGCCCAAAACTCCCAGCTCAGGGTGATTTGCTGGTCTCCCTAGAGCAGCCTCTTCCAGGGTGGGAGCTGGAGAGTTTCCCTGGGATGTGGCAGGCAAGCCCTGATGCCCTCTGTGCTGTGTGTCCCACAGCAGAGCTGCTGAACTGGCACGGTGCTGAGCAGTGGCTGCTGGAGAGGTGCATCAGCGGGAGCCAGGGCATGCAGCACCTCTGCGCCTTCCTCCGAGGAACTGCAGGTGGGCACGGGATGCTCCACAGCCCCCTCCCTGCCAGCCAGGGCCACCTGCCTGCCAGGAGGCTGGCACAGAGCTGGGGGCATGGGTAAGATGCCCGGGGAAGCTTTGGAAGGTGAGCCAGCAGCAGAGATGGGAGGGAGATGCACAACAGTGGCTTTGCTCTGCTCTGTTCCCTCGGTTTGGCTTCATCCACCCTCGGGGCTTCCAGGGGCTCCTCCCTGTTACAGATGTTTTTTATGAAAAATCTTTTCTTTAAGATTTTTCTTCTTGAGAAGCTGAGAGGTTTTAGGGACAAAATGCAAACATTGATTATTTGTTGCTGTGGAATGCAACAGGTGGATTTGTGATTGGTCTCATGTAGTTGTTTTTAATTAATGGCCAATCACAGTCAGCTGGCTCAGACTTTTTGTCTGAGCCACAAGTTTTTGGGGTTTTTTCTATTTTTAGCTAGCTTTCTGATGATTTTTTTTAATTCTTTTAGTATAGTTTTAATATAATATATATCACAAATAATAAATCAAGCCTTCTGAAACATGGAGTCAGATCCTCATCTCCTCCCTCATCCTCAGACCCCTGTGAACACCATCACACCTCCCAACTCCCATCCCTTGTCTGATCTGTAGGGGAAGAACTGATCGACTTCTGGCTCATCACTGAGAGGCTGCTGGGTCTGGATGAGTCGGATGGGAGTCAGAGGGAGCTGTTCTTGTCCCTGGAGCACAGGCTGAGAGCCACTCACCTGCGTGAAGGCTCCAGCATCCTCACCTTCTGCACCACCATCGTGGGTAAGAGACATGGGAGTTGGGAAGAGCACTGCCCTTCCAGAGAGGGGATCTTTCCTGGCTGCTCCCAGGGGGATGGGATGCCATCCCCTCCCTGGGGAACAGCCTGCACAGAGCCATCTCCCTGTCATAATTCCCTGCATCCATCTCAGGATCCCTTCCAAAAGCCAGGCACATCCAGTCCATCAGCACCAGGAGGGAGATCCTAAGCAAGATGCAGGAACAGGTCCTTTGCATGATTCAGAGTTACTGGCTCCCTAAATTCTTCGTGCACTGCAAGATGGGAATGGAGGAAGAGGAATTGTGCTGGCCTTTGCTGCAGGAATATCAGGAACGTTTATCACAGGCTGGCTGGCAGCCCCCAGGCCTTGCAGAGCTCCTCCCCACCATGCACATCAAAAGGAGCCAGGGTGTGCCAGGGCCCTACTGCAGCCAGAAGGCCAAAGCAGAGGTCTGGGCTCTGGTCAAGGAGGGGAGAGACAGCCAAGAATTGAAAATGGCCACTCTTCAGGTGAAAGCAGAGAAGCAGCCAGGGCCAGCTGGGAGCAGGGAGGAATTGAGTCTGGATAAGGATGCTGTGGGATCCATTCCCCCCCAGCAGTCCCAGCATCCTACCTTTGGAGGCAGAGGAGGAGCAGCATTTCCTGGCAGACCTCAGTCCAGTGCAGTGCAGGATCTACAAAACCTCTGTAAGGAGAAAATCCCCCCTGACCTGCTTCCCTCTGCATCCCTTGCCCGGCTGCCATCCCTGAAAAAGCCAATCAAGACCTTGGATTTCCTTCCCTGGGCCCTGAGTGCCGAGGCCTGTGCTGGAAGACCCTTCAGAGATTTCCTGCAGCACCAGAACCGGCCCATGGAGACTCTTCTCCTGGACCTGTGGCACGACCTGGAGGAGTTTCTGCCCGTGGTGCAGGACTCCAGCAGAGAAAACAGCTTCTTCCTGCGCCATCAGATTGGGGAGAAGATCTGCAAGACCTACCTGGAGGACAGCAGCATTGAGAAGCTGCCCTTGGAGACCAGGACCCTCGTGAGTTTGTGGAACCGTCTGATATATGGAGAATTCTCCCCCTGGATATTCAGAGCCCAGAAGGAGATTTGCAAGGTACACAGGGGTGCTGGCTGCAGTCAGGCTGGGAGGTACAGCTGGCATTGGCACCCCTGTGGTGGTGTGAGGGCTCTGGGGATGTTTAGGAAGTGAAGCATTTGGAAAAGGAAGAGGAAAAGGGATTAGGAAGGGAAGAACCTGCAGTCACCTTGCAGTGGGCCAGGAGAGGAGCATCCTCACAGGTTTGCTGGGCAGTCACTGAACATCTCTGGTGACCCTGGCTAGGTGCACATTCCAGGACCATCCTTTTGCACCCATCATGGTTCCAGCACAACCCCAGTAAAACCCATTTAGCGTCCCAGCCCTTCTGGGCAGCCCCATGGACCAAGCTGGATGTGCAGGCCTGTCCTGGGCATGTCAGCAAGGTGTGAGCCACCCATGGCACCAGCACTGTCACCCTGCCTGAGGACAATCCCCCTTTGCTCCTCCTCAGGTGCTCTGTGGCCTCTATGAGGAATTTCTGGCTGCTGATGACAGGACATTCCTCCAGCTTATGGTAAGGGGGATGCACAGGGGCATCCTTGGGGGTGCGCAGGCTCCAGTGGAGAGGGAGTGAGGGACAGTGGGATGAGAAGCCCAGCATTAGCTGCAGTGGTCTGGCATCCCACAATATCCCCAGCCAGTGCTGCCACAGGGTGACACAGCAGATCCTACCCTGTTCCAGCTGCCTGGAACAGTGATCCTCAGCTCTTCCAGCACAGCATCCTGTTCAGCTGGCAGCACTGCAGGCACAACCTGTAAAAGCTCCCCTGGGACAAGCTGTGACCCTGCCTAAAAGCTGGGAGAAATGTATTTACAGGCTTTTAGTGTAGGCATGGGTGGGCCCAGCACTTCTGGGAATTTATCTGCCCTTTTTTGCCTTGCCCACACTATTAATGTGTAATTATTACTGCTATCTATGTGAGTCATGTGCATGACACATGGGATAACACTGCCCCAGCACCAGTGCCTGGTCAGCACAGGGGGGAAGAGGCCATGCAGCCTCTTAGCCTATGACTCAACCACCCTCAAATTTTCCACTTCTTTTTTTCCACCAAAAAGGATGATACACGAAATCAGAGTCACACAAGCCCTCTTCCCAGACTTATTCCTCCTGGCATCAGAAATCCCATAAAACCTCCCCAAATTCCAGCATTACACCCAGAAACCTCCTTGCAGGCAGAACCCCCTGAGCATCCCACCTGTCCTGGTACCTTCACAACCTGTGCAGGCAGTTCTTCTCACTGCAGATGGTGTTCTTCAAACCAACTGCTTTCCCAAAATGAAATGTAAAATCAGCAGCTGATCCTGGGAATGTTAAGGAGAGGCTGTCAGGGCTTGGTGTCCTCAAAGACCTGGCTCCCAGAGCCTCAGCCAGGTAGAGCTGAGCATTTTGGAAAAGTCAGCAAAGTCAGCTGGCAGCTCCCAACTGCTCTTAGTGGGAAGTTAATTAGCTGCCCAGGTTTTTTAAGCACCTCTTGTGGAGGAAATCTCCCCTGTGAGGCCAGAGCTGCTCTGGGAGTGCAATTAGCACTTCAGCAGGGTCGGGCCCTGCTCTCTGTGGGCACCATCCCCTGAGCCAAACTCCTCCCGGCGCTGCTGCTCCGCTGTCAGGGGAGCTGCTGGCAGCTTAGCAGGGCTATTTTTGGTGTCTGCTCTCAGCTCCCAGCCAGGAATCAGCCACTCTACCCCTTGGGCTTGGTGAGCTGTGCAAACTGTTTGTCTTTGGGGAGAGGTAAAACCTGCAGGAGGGTTGGGGGAATGAGGGAGGCACTCCCAGGGCACCAGCTGGTGACAACAGCCAACAAAAACAGCATACAAGGCTGCCAGGCTGCTGGGGACACCTTCAGGGTTGTTTCCAGCACTCCTGAGGGGATGTTGAGCCCTTCAGGAAAGCTGCAAGGCCGTGTCTGGCCTACCTCTGGCTGCCTGTACATCCCAGCCAGCTTGAGCTGAGCTTTGTGCTCTCACAGGTTCCTTCCAGACTGCTTAAAGCTCGAGCAGAGGTCTGGAGTCTGAGGTGCAGTAAAACATGTGGGTGATGCCTTGTGAAGGCTGACCTAGAACAGAGGCTGGACAGAGCTAAAGAATAAAGCAGGGATTTATTAAAGGCCTCAATGGATCCACCTTGGGCAGCACAAGAGCCCAGCCAGGGCTGCACCCAAGATGAACCAAAATGGTCACAAAATGGACAACAGGCCATGGAGTTTCTCCCTTTTATAGGTTCTGCTCCATTTCCATATTGGAGTTAATTGTCCAATTCCAGCTTTAGCCCATGCAGTCCCATCCTGCTTGTTTTTCTCTCTTTATTCCAAGTTGTTTGTGCTCTTGGTGCTGAGATTTGGATCATTTGTCCTTGGTGCCCAGCTGGAGCAGGAATTGTTTTGTCTCCCTGCTCTGTGCACAGAGCTCACCATCCCCTCATGTGAATCCAGACCCACACGCTAAAGCAGCCCAGAATCTAAAAAACATAAAAGCTCAAAACATAAAAAGCTCAAACCTGAGGCATCCTGGGCCCAGTGCTGGAGATGGGGAAGGTGCTCTGAGCCATCACCCTGCCCTGTTCTCACCGCAGGTTCCAGGCATGGATGTCCCCATGGCTGAGGTGCCAGGCCGTGCTGCTGGCAGGTGGGGACATTTCCACCTGTCCCAGAGGATGAACCAGGCCCTGCAGCTGGGCCAGGCCTTGCATGGCACGAGGAGCTTGGAGGGGGTCTCCTCCAAGCACTGGCAATTGCTTGCTGCTCGGGACCTGCAGAAAGGGGGCTCCATCCAGGCAGAGATGGAGCTGCTCCTGGGCAGTGCTGGTAAGAGGGGGCTCTCCATCCCTGGTGGGGCTCATGTTGGCTGAAGCCAGTAAAACATGGTTTATGCTCTGGTGGTAGCCCTAAACAGGTGATGGACATCATGGGGTGGGTTGGTACAGTGGGTCTGGGAGCCTTCATTTGTAATGAAAGCTTTGGCAGCTTTTTTTCCTGTCAAAATCAGTCAAAACTGCCCACTGGGATTTTAGACAAGGGCCAGATTCCCTCCTTCCAGTAGCAGGGGCACCAAATGCCACATCCCTGCATTGTCCTGGATCACCAGATCAAATGAAGGCTGCAGCAAAGTGGCTGAAGCCCAAAGCCAGCACTAGCTCCTGTCACCTCAGTTTCCACATTTTGGCCTCCTGAGGATGCTGGGACGGCCTATGCTGGTGGCACTGGTGCAACCCCTCAGCTTTGTTCTGTCATGCAATCCTTTGGGAATGACACCAGTTTTCTGTGCTGCACTGAGGGTGACAGCAGTCACCTGTAGCACCCCTGTAGCTTGTGTGCCCTCAGTTTTACCCAAGAAAGGCAGTGTCATGGGTAGATCATGGAGCAGGACACACAAGGGGACAAGGAAGGTGACAAAACCCAGCCCTCAGAGCCAGTGCTGAAGGGTTGTAGTAACCAGAGGTAATGGACATGGGCTCTGTCCCCTCTCCTCTCTCTGATGCAGAATTCCAGAGGATGATAGCAGATGAGCTGGCTGTGAGCAGCCCCAGCAAGGAAGAGGAGCTCCTGCAGCTCATGAGTGCAGCACTCGGTGAGTCCAGGCAAGAGGCCAGGTGGGCTTCCAGACATCCAGCACCCTTGGGGAGCTCCTCCACAAGGAAAGGCCTCTCCAGCCACCACAGGCTGTGCTCTGGGGCATTAACCCAGCCAGGGAGGGTGGCACTGGGGGATTTCTCTGAAGCAGATGTTGAGGAGGTCAAACCATGAGAGGTGAAGTATTGGCGATGATGTGAGAGATGGGGAGACTGTGAAGTGGTCAAAGAATCCAATTTTATTGTGGACTACAAATGCTTCTAGACTGTTTTAGGAAGGCTTATAATGTTTTACTACAATGACTGGGTTAAAGATCACATAAACAAACTTATACATTTTCAACATCTCTTGCTTGCAGAAGTCTGATGTAATTTTCTTTTTCCAGTAAACGCGTCTGATTGAATCTTCCTGCAGTCTTGATTTAATCCTCAAAGTTCTGTTTGCTCTTGCCAAGGCATCCTGTTATCAAATCTCTTAAGCTAGCCAGGTCCAAAGTCCATCATCTGCCCTGTGTGTCCCAGTATCCCAGTAGTGAAGAGCTCCCTCAGTGTCTCCTGGGCCACCACAGAGACACCACGTGGAGGCTCCAGGGTCCAGCTGTCTGCTGTCACCTCTGGCTGTCACCTGGGGAAGAGGCCAGCCCTGTTTCTGTCCCCACAGCTGTTGCATCTGAGAGGATTGCTCGAGAGAATGCTGCTGCTGCTGCAAGGAAGAGGGCAGCAAGAAAACGCAGGTCTGGCACCTCTCACCACACAGCTTTGCTCCTTACCCTCCTTCAGGTGTTTCCCAGTGCTCCCCTGTAGTGCCACTGCTCCCTGTTTGCTCATTTGGACCTCTCAGATGTAGGGTGGCCTGTGGGTTTAAACTGCAGAATTTCCAGAGAAAGGAGAAAAAATAACACTCCCCACCCCAGCTCAGATTTACTCTTCACACCTTGTGCAAATCTTGTGCACTTCATCCTCAGTCAACCCCCAGAATGCCACCTGAGCAGTGCTTAGATTCCCAGAAAAATCACTTAAAACCACACTGTGAACTCACATCTCACCTCCTGGGAATACTCCAGCCATGAGTCCTTACACTGGGATGTAAAGCAAATGGAGAAATGATGGTGAGCACCTGAGCCAAGCTGGTTTCTTCAGCCCAGTTATACGAATGCACCCTGCCCAATACCCATCCCACCCCAAGGGGCCAGACAGCAACTGCTATAAATGAATTTATTTATGGCCCATCAGCATTGATATTCCATCCAGACCCTCACCCCAAACCTACCAAATCACTTCTGGGCCTGCAGGCTGCTGGACTGGAGGAGCTGCTCCCCACCTTAGCCCCCCTTCCATCAAACCAGTGCCCTCCTCATGCCCCTGGCTGCCCTTGGTGCTCTCTCTGCTCTCCCACCTGGCAGGCTGGAGGAGGAGGGTGAGGAGTATGAGGACGACGAGGAGGATGAGGAGGATGAAGATGAGGAAGAGGAGGAAGGACCCTACTATCAGAAGAAGAAGAAGCAGAAACAGATGGGGAAGCAGAAAAAGACAGGGAAGGAGAAAAAGACAGAGAAGCAAAAAAAGACGGGGAAGGAGAAAAAGACAGGGAAGGAGAAAAAGACAGAGAAGCAGAAAAAGACAGGGAAGGAGAAAAAAACAGAGAAGGAGAAAAAGACAGAGAAGCAGAAAAAACAGAAGCAGAAGAGGAAGGAAGAGGAGCAGGAGCAGCAGCAGGATTTGTTGCCCTGGAACAGAAAGCCCAGGTCTAGGCGTCCTCAGCTTGTGCAGGAAGGGACAGGGGACCTCAAGACACAGAGGATGGTGAGGAAAGACCCAGTGTGAGGGTGTTTTCCAGGCAAGGCAGAGGGGAGCTGCTGTGAGACAAGGGATGCCACATAAATGGGGTGAGGGGCTCAGAGAGCTGCAGAAAGGCAGCAGGGAAAGGCTCCCTGAAATAGGGGTCTCCTCCAGCCAGGTCTCATTGAGCTCTTGGAGATCTATTTCACACCCAAGATAGCTCAGCTACCTTAGGAGGCATAAAATCAGCAGGATGGCTTCTGTGGCAGTGTTGGAAACAAAAAGGTTTTAATAAAAGGCAAAAGAAAAAACTTTTTACAGAGAAAAACCAAGCCAGGTGCCAGAGATTCTTGCTCCTGGTGAAACACCCCTCAAAAGCCATTAGTTTCTTTGTTCTCTTCTTTTTCTAGTGAATTGCTCAGGTAGGACTTTTGGCTTCTGTCCCCTTAGCTATCCTTAAATTTGAGGTGAAGTCCCCCAGGTCCTATGAGATGCCTTTTTCACTGAGGAAAGAATATTCTGGGCTTTTTTCCTTTTTAAGGAGACAAAAGATAGTTTTGTCACTCCATCAACAAGGGGCACATCCCTACAGCTCCCTCCTGCAGGCTCAGGACTGGCTGAGGGATTCACACCATCCCCCGTGGCCAGCAGGGAAACTGAGAAATGCTGGAAAGCAGAGATGATGGCTGGGACACAAATCCCACTGCCAAGGCTGCTCCAGCTCACAGGGGTGGGTCCCAACAGGAGGGCTCAGCTCCAGTGCTTGTAGTATTTTCAGGGGCCCCTCTGGCAGTAAGGAAAGATGAATCTTACTCCATAAGTTCTTAGAAGGCTAATTTATTAATATAATAAAATATAATATAATATAATATGTAATATTATATTATATATAATGTAATATGTTATATTATATATAATGTAATATAATGTAATATATAATGTAATGTAATATATAATATAATATAATATATAATGTAATACGTTATATATAATATAATGTATTATAATATAATATATAATGTAATATGTTATATTATATTATAATTATATTATATTATATTATAATTATATTATATTATAATATATTATAATTATACTATAATTATATTATATTATAATTATATTATATTATATTGTACTAAAGAATACAGAAAGGATACAGACAGAAGGCTTAACAAGGTACTCATGAAAAACTCTTGACTCTCTCCAGAGCCTTGACACAGCTGGCTGTGATTGGCCATTAAGTTAAAACAATTCACATGAAAGCAATCAAACAATGACCAGTTGGTAAACAATGTCCAAACCACATTCCAAAGCAGCAAAACACAGGAGAAGCAAATCAGATAATTATTGTTTTCCTTTTTCTCTGAGGCTTCTCAGCTTCCCAGGAGAAGAAATCCTGGGCAAAGGGGATTTTGACAGAAAATATGAATGTGACACTGGCACTGACACTGATGCCACCTGTGCTGTGTCCCCACAGGCATGGGCTTGGGATGCCATCCGGGAGCTTGTCAGGAGCTTCTGCAAGTTCAAGAGGGACATGAAGAATCAAACACGCCGTGCAGAATTTCAGCAGTTTCTCCGTCAGGAGCGAAGAAACAAGAGGGAAAGTATGTCCAGTGTGTCCTGCCACCCCTGCTCCTCCCTCCCCTGGGTTTAGGTAGAGAAGAAAATGGAGAAAACCTGTCCCTTACCTCCCACCACCATCACTTAGTGCCCTGCTATGCTGTTGCATCTCTCTCAAGCAATGTTGCTTATGCAAGTTTGCATCCCTGCCTAAAAAAAAAAAAAACAACCCAAAACAGGAAACAGTAAATGGAGCTAAGGTGAGACAGGCCAGAAAAACAAACAAAAGGAAATTGTTTTCTGGGTAACAGGGAGCTGGCCTGAACAGAAAGTTTACTCACAGGTTTGAGAGGAGGCAGGAAAAGCAGTTAGAAAAGTAATCTACCAAACACAAGAAACCCTATTTCGATCAAGAGAATTTTGTATATGGGGGAAACAGATTTTTTCCCCTTCATCCTCACTCATTATCTGCTTGTAGGCTCTGTCAGGGCCAGGGCCAATAGCTAGACAGACCAGCAGGCTTTAGCAACAGGCCATTCCCTGTGGAAACAGTGAACATAAGCACTCTGTGGGTGCAAAGAGGAGAAGGGAAGGAGGAGATCACCAAGCCAGAGGGAAGGTGTAGCTCACAGGGGTAGAAAGGCCCCAGCAAATTGCATGCAGCTAAGGGAAGCCCAGGTGAGGTGAAGGAGCAAACCCAGTGCTGGCCAGCAGCACACAGCATCTCTTCCCCTGCCTCAGACTTGCCTGTCAAGGAGAAGAAGAGCAAAAGTCCTGCCAAGAGCCCCCGCAAGGAGAAGGACAAGGGCAAGGGGCAGCAGCAGAAGGTGACGCTGATCAAACGCCGCATTTTGGACAAACAGATCATCATCGTCAACTTCCTCGTGGATGACCTCCGCTTTTACCTGGAGATGGACAAGTAAGTTCTTCCTCCACCTCCTTCTAGGTGCTTGGGCACCTGGTGGTACAGAATCCCAGAATGGTTTGGGTTGGAAGGGAGCTTAAAGGTCATCTCATTCCAGCTCCCTGCCTTGGGCAGGGATGTGTCCCACTGGACAAGGTTGCTCAGAGCTCCACCCAACCTGGCCTTGGCACCAGCCTGCCTTGACTGTGGCCCAAACCCATCTCTGATGGAGACCTCCAAAGCCCCCATTTCAGCCTGCAGTCATCCTCTGGCTCAGGGTTCCTGTTTGAACTCCTTTTGCTTTGGTAGTCCCAAGCGATTCAGCATTTGGCTACACCATTCTGGATGTCCCAGTTGTGGTGGCATTTCTCCCTTGACTTTGTCCACGTTCCCAACAAACCTCTAAGCCCAATCCATGGCCAATAGGCACAAAACCTGCAGCCAATACCCCCACAACAGGCAAATCCCCAGCTTTTAGTCCTCCTCTTTTCCCAAAAAGTGAATCCTGTGACCATGAGGGTGGCAGAAGAGGGAGGTGGCTTTCCATTCCTCCTGTGTCACTGCTCCATGGGATTGCTTTGAGGATGGAGGGTTGAGGATTGCTTTTCCTGGCCAAGCAAATACCAAATTGCCAGATTAAGCCCTTTTCTGACCCAGAGATGTGGCAAATGAGAGGCATTTTAAAAACTTTTATTCCATTTTCAGTCTCAAGTGAAGTGAAGACAATACAGATGTTATAATTCAATCTATTACAATCAGAAGCCAATTATTTCTTAATTACAATACACTATAAGCATTTCTTGGCCTATCAGCTTTAGCCACACCATGCTGTAAATGCCTTAAAGCCAATCACCTAAAATTACTCCTCATGGGTCCCACTGCAATGCATCTTTCATAGTTCTATTTCTCTAGAGTCCTTAGTCTTATTTGCAAGGCCAAAGGAATTTAAGAATTTTCTACAAATGCACTTCCCACATCAAATTAAGCAAGAACAGGAGTGTCTAGCCTAGCAGTTAAGCAGCAGGGGTCTCAGAGCAAGACCCCATGTGCCTTTGCAGGTTTTCCAGGCTGGCTGACGCCATGGAAGATGCAGAACCCCAGAACATGGAGTCAGAAAACTACGATTCCTTTCTCAAAAAGAAACTGGAGGTCATCAGCAAACTTTTCCTGGACTCTGAGATCCCCCCCAAGCTGAGGGTGAGACCCCAGGACGTGCCCAGGAAGGCTGCTCATCGCTCAAGGCCATGGCAGTACAGCTGGGAACAGTGGTGGGGAAAGAGGAACAGGGTTTGGATCTGCTGGGGGGGATTTGGGATGTGCTCTGGAGCTTGGGGCTTCCACATGGGCTGGGAGGGGTGGGAAGCAGCCCCCCAGCAGGCCCTGATAAATTGAGAATAAGAATGTGGATAAGGATGGGAAAGATGGGGAAGATTCTCCAGCATTAACTGCTGGAGAAATGCCAGGCCTGGGGTGCCAGGATGGTGCTGCACACCACCAATCCAGTCCTTTCACTCCTCAGAGGCCACTGTCACCACCATCCCCTCCCACTGCACCCACCCCAGCAGCTCTGCCATCTCCCCTTCCCACAGAAATCCAGGTGGGATCCTGCCCTTGTGTCTGGGGCAAGCAGCCAGGATGGAATTTGGGTCTGTGCTTAGAGACTGCTTAGGTGGGGTCAGGCAGAGAAACCTGGCCCCATCTGAGACATAAACTTTAAAGAATTCCGGGATTTTATAGGAGCTGAGGTTTTAGTTAGAGATAAGGTTTATTGGAGTTAATCAAAATAAATGGGTAGGCCTTGATGAAGTTAAGAGTGAGTAGTTAACTAATAACTGATTGCTTGTCAACATAATGTTTGGTTAGCTGGGTTTATAATGAAGAATATAGAGACTGATAAATGGCTTTTGGGAACATAAGACAATTGTGGCCTCCTCTGTTCTGAAACCAATTGAAGATGGGGAATGGGAGTTCCCTACCAAGGGTTCATTTGTCATATTTGCATTGAAAATGTAGAAAGTGCAGAACGAGGAAGACTTCATTTACTTCCTCATTTTGGGACCCCTCCCCATGAAAGGGACCACCACCCATTTCAAGAAACAAACTGTGCATGTTTAATGGCTTTTGAACTAATAACCATACGAAGCAGGGACTGGGATATACCAAAGTTATGAATATGCATTTGTATTTTGGGTATTCAATACTTGTATAGATGAAAGGACTCTGTAATCACTGTAAATCACAGTGTGTATTTGGGAGCTATCCCACAATAAACACACACTTTCTAACTCTAAACTGTTAGAGAGTGTCCATCACAGTTGGATATCAGTACTAGATCAATATCCATAATGGTAATGGGATGTACCAAAGTTATGAATATGTATTTGTATTTTGGGTATTCAATACTTGTATAGATGAAAGGACTCTGTAATCACCTGTAAATTGCGGTGTGTATTTGGGAGCTATCCCACAATAAACACACACTTTCTAACTCTAAACTGTTAGAGAGTCTTTGTCCATCACAGCTGGACATTGGCACTAGATCAATATCCATCTTTTGAATCAATCACATCAGGAGTGCTGCAAAGTGCTTTGCTCTGCTCTGTGCCCAGGTGAACATCTCTGAGAAAGAGAGGGATTTCATCCGGCGTTCATCCTCCAAGGGGCCGCTCACCCGGGCCATCTACCACAACGCCAAGGTCACCCTCTTCCCCATCCTGATGTACTTCTGGAGAAGGTACCTCTCCATCCCCTCTCTGCCAAGGTGCAGGAGGCTCTGGGCATGCCACCCTTTATCTCCAGTCACTTGTTCCTCTGCCATCAGGGAGGTTCCCAGGGAGGAGTTCTGGGCATGGAGAGGGACATGGGGTGCTCCCAAGGAGGTGTTCTGGGCATGGAAAGGGACCAGGGAGGAGTTCTGGGCATGGAGAGGGATCAGGGATGCTCTCAGGGAGGAATTCTGGGCATGGAGAGGGATCAGGGAGGTTCCCAAGGTAGAGTTTTGGGCATGGAGAGGGATCAGGAATGTTCCCAAGGTGCAGTTTTGGGCATGGAGAGGGATCAGGAATGTTTTCAGGGAGGAATTCTGGGCATGGAGAAGGATCAGGGAGGTTCCCGAGGTGGAGTTTCGGGCATGGAGAGGGATCAGGGACGTTCACAAGGTGCAGTTTTGGGCATGGAGAGGGATCAGGAATGTTTTCAGGGAGGAGTTCTGGCCATGGAGAAGGATCGGGGATGCTCCCAAGGAGGAGTTCTAGGCATGGAGAGGGATCAGGGACGTTCACAAGGTGCAGTTTTGGGCATGGAGAGGGATCAGGAATGTTTTCAGGGAGGAGTTCTGGCCATGGAGAAGGATCGGGGATGCTCCCAAGGAGGAGTTCTAGGCATGAAGAAGGATCAGGGATTCTCCCAGGGAGGAATTCCGGCCATGGAGAGGGATCAGGGAGGTTCCCAGGGTGGAGTTCTGGCCATGGAGAAGGATCAGGGAATGCTCCCAGGGAGGAATTCTGGGCATGGAATGGGTGAGCAGCGGTGAGCTTGAAATGCAGATGAGATTCTACCTGGGAGCTCAGCTGGAATTGTCCCCTTGGAGCTCTGCTGTCCCCGCTGTTTCTCACACAGGTTCTGCACCTGGAAGGTGATGAGGACCTTTCAGGCCTACCAGGAGCTCAGCAGCTTTGGGGTTCCTGAGGAGGAGGAGGAGGAGAGCTTTGAGCTCCCTGAGGGGGACAGGAGCTCTCAGGACCCCAAGGGAGGCAGGAGCTCCCGGGGCCAGCAGCAGGACAGGAGCTCCAAGGTCCAGCAGCAGGACAGGAGCTCCAAGGTCCCACAGCAGGACAGGAGCTCTCAGGAGCCCAAGGGGGCCAGGAGCTCCAAGATCCAACAGGAGAAGAGCTCTCAGGAGCCCAAGGGAGGCAGGAGCTCCAAGGTCCAACAGGAGAAGAGCTCTCAAGAACCCAAGGGAGGCAGGAGCTCCCGTGGCCGCAAGGAGGGCAGGGTTCCAGCCTCTTCACCTGCAAAAAGCCCCTCCAAAGCAGCCAAGAACCCAGGTCCCAAGAAGCTGGAGGCCATTGCCTCTACTACACATCATGCTCCAGGTTGGTTCTTCCAGTGCAGAAACACCCAGGCCTGACATCTTTTAGGTTGACCCCCCTCCTTCACACAGCTTTGAGGGTGTATGTGGTGCAGGCCTGCTGGGAAAATGGAATGGAATTATTTTTATTTCTTTTTCCCTGTCGAAATCAGTCAAAACTGTCCAGTGGGATTTTAGAAATTTTCTTTGGTGAATAGGGAAGTGAGCACAGAGACTTCCTATGCAAAGAGCTGTTGCATAATTCCTATTTATTTCAATAGCCAAGTTAAAAATAGTCAGGCACACCCCCTGCAACAGAAATAAAAACCCCCAATCTTTTGGGCTGCAAGTCAAATGGGAGCAGGAAAAGGAGAACAACTGTGCAGCCAAACACCAGGCATTCCAGGGAGGGTGCTTGGAATAGCTGGAGTGGAGAATAAGCTCCATCAGGCTTTGAGGTGACATCTCCAGGGAAAGAGATGTTTTTTCTCCCTCAGCCCCTTGTTTAGTTTTGATACACTGAATAACTCTAAACTGGAAAACACAAAGTGATGCTGAGCGCTGTCAGCCTGCCTGACAGCCCTCTCCTTGGCTTGAATATTCATTTGGAAATTGTCTAATTGATTTTTGATTAAAAGGGAAACCAAAATAGGCACATACTAATCTTGCTTTGACGGATGAGTGGGCGTCAGCAAGCTGCTGCTCTGCTCCCCTGTCATTTATCACTGTCAAGTTCTGGCTAAAAAGCAGCAGAGTTCGAGGATTTGGATGGCTCCAGGCAGGTGCTGGAGCTCCTGCTCCCCAGCAGGGCTGAGGTGACACAGCCCTGTGCCCCAGGAATGCCAGGCCATGTCCATAGCTCCAACCACCTCACCCCTTGGCCATTCCCATGGAAAACATCCACTCCTCAGCTTGGGTCTCCACCTTGTTACAGAGGTCTTTCAGGACCTTCTCAAAAGTCATTGTTTTAATGCAAAAGTCACAAAAAAAAACCCCTCTAGAAAAACCTCATCCATCACAGATGTATTCCAAGCTGGTGATAAGGCAGAAACCTTGTGTTAGAGTGGAGTTATCCAGTGTTTGCCAGGATCTTCAGGGAGCAGAGAGAGTGACATTCAAACCGATTCAGATCAGAGATAGGGAGTTGTTTTTAACACTAGAGGGTGGTAAAACACTGGTTTAGGTTGTCCAGAGAAGCTGAGGCAGCCCCATCCCTGGGAATATTCAGGATCAGGTTGGATGGGGCTCTGAACGACCTGAGCTTAGTGGAAGGCGTTGGGGGCTGCACTGGATGGCCTTGAAAGGCCCCTTCCACCACAAATTATTCTGTGTTTAAATCAGTGCAAACTGCTGCAAGGCTTGGTGCCAACAGCAGAGCCCGTGTTTAACCACAGCCACAGAGAGTGACTGCACTGGGAGCTGCTCTGGACACACAGAAAAGACCCTGATCTCTCCAGGATGGACATTAATCCCACAGGGACTACACTCCCCAAGCCACCTCTCCTTGCTGCATCTCACAGGGATGAGTGAGACGTGGGGTCAGAAAAAACAGGGACATTTATTTTTAACACCAGCCAGGCAGGAAAATACCCCTCAGCTTGCCTGGCACGTGGGGGACAAGATGTGTGACCCACAATAGCTGCTGTGTCTGACTGTGCTGATGTCCACACCAGCTCCCAAGACACTTTTCTGCACTTTATGCTTCCAACAATGACCTTTCTTTAAGGGTCATCTTCTAACCTTTAGGTAAAAACCTTTAGGTTAAAATTTTACTTGAACTTTTAACCTTTAGGTTAAAATTTTACCTTCAGGTTAAAAAATTGCTTTTGAGCTGTCATTAAAAAAAATTTAAAATTGCTTTTGTTGCCTTTTAAAAAGCACTGAAAAACACCTGTAAATGCAGAAAAACCGGCTCCTCTTTTATTTTGAGGGATGTGCAGACATGGTTTGAGCAGGGCTGGGTGGTGGCAGGCAGGGACCCATCTGCCATCATCACTGTGGCACTGTCCTCAGGCAGGCACAAAGCCTGGCACACCTTTCTTTCTGTAGAAAAATTCTTTTTCCAGTTTGTTTTCTCAATCATCCACGGATGTGGTTCAGAATGCTTCAGCTTGGCAGCTGAGAAATGCATAAGCTGAATTACTAAAGAATGTCCCCGAATTGTTTCACTGTCAAGTCCTTGCTCAGCCATCCTTCCTTGTGCTCTGGGTAACCTCAAATGTTTGGAGGGGGACAGCAGTGCTGTCCCCCCTCTTTTGCCACCAGAGCACTGCATGTCTCTCCCCTCACCAGGTAAAAAGGCTCTCCTCTCCTACACAATGTCAGATGGCCTTGGGCTCCTGCTACCACGGCCCCCAAAGAAAACTGAGCCTCCAGAGCAGCACAAAGGTGAGGAAGCACTGAATGGAGCACTGAATGGAGCCCTCCTGCTCCTGGGGGCTGTGGGGATGGCAGCTGGGCTGGAGGGCTCCCTGCAGCAGCCCTGGTGGCATCTTTGTGCTGTTGTTTCCCTCAGCTGCAGATGCCAGTGGGGAGAAGAGGCCCTCGCTCAGTGAGCCCGCGCTGCAGGCTGGGTAGGTGCTCCCAGGGGTGCTCAGCTCCCCCAGAGCCCAGCAGCACAGCCTGTGGCCCCCTCAAATCACAGGGCTTGCTGCAGGATGCTGGGCAGCCCCACCAGCTCTAGAAACAGCCACAGAAACTCCCAGGTGCTGCACAGAGCCTCTGTGACCAGAACTGCTCCTTGGGAACATCCCTGATCCCTCTGCATGGCCAGAGCTCCTCCTTGGGAACATCCCTGATCCCTCTGCATGGCCAGAGCTCCTCCTTGGGAACATCCCTGATCCCTCTGCATGGCCAGAGCTCCTCCTTGGGAACATCCCTGATCCTTTTCCATGGCCAAAACTCCTCCTTGGGAACTTCCCTGATCCTTCTCCATGCCCAGAACTACACCCTGGGAACATTCCTGATCCTTTTCTATGCCCAGAACTTCTCCTTGGGAACATCCCTGATCCTTCTCCATGCCCAGAACTCCTTCCTGGGAGCATTCCTGATCCTTTTCCATGCCCAGAACTCCTCCTTGGGAACCTCCCTGATCCTTCTCCATGCCCAGAACTCCTCCTTGGGAGCCTTCCTGATCCTTTTCCATGGCCAGAACTCCTCCCTGGGAGCACACAGCCATGTGTTCACCCCTTCCATGCCCAGAATTCTTCCCTGAGAGCCTCCCTGATTATTTTAAATACCCCAAACCCCTCCCTGGGAGCATCCCTGATCCCTCTCCATGCCCAGAACTCCACCCTGGGAGCATCCCTGATCCCTCTCCATGCCCAGAACTCCACTCTGGGAGCATCCCTGATCCCTCTCCATGCCCAGAACTCCACCTTTGGAGCCTTCCTGATCCTTCTCCATGCCCAGAACTCCACCCTGGGAGCATCCCTGATCCTTTTCTATGCCCAGAACTTCTCCTTGGGAACATCCCTGATCCCTCTCCATGCCCAGAACTCCACCCTGGGAACATCCCTGATCCTTCTCCATGCCCAGAACTCCTCCTTGGGAACATCCCTGATCCTTTTCTATGCCCAGAACTCCACCCTGGGAACCTCCCTGATCCTTTTCCATGCCCAGAACTCCTCCTTGGGAACATCCCTGATCCCTCTCCATGCCCAGAACTCCTCCTTGGGAACATCCCTGATCCCTCTCCATGCCCAGAACTCCTCCTTGGGAACATCCCTGATCCTTCTCCATGGCCAGAGCACCTCCCTGGGAGCACACAGCCATGTGCTCACCCCTGCTCACCCTTTCCATGGCCACAACTCCTCCTTAGGAGCATCCCTGGTCCTTCTCTATGCCCAGAACTCCTCCCTGGGCACTCAGAGCCCTGTGCTGGTCCCTTATCACCCTCACCCTGCCTTCAGCACCAGCAGCCACTGATGCAGCATCTCTCCCTTCCCTGCAGGACCTAAGGGAAGCTCAGCCCTCCCAAAACAACACCCACACAGGTGTGATCCAAGGAAGCTGAGCAGCCTGGACGCAGGGAATTGTTTGCACTCAGCAAGAAGAAACCTAAAAATAAAGCAAGTGACAGCATCCTCCAGCTTACCTGGTGACAGCACAGCAGCTCACAGCTCACAGCCTTGGCAGGGAGGTGCTGTGTGACACATGCTTGCAGCTGAAACACCACACAAATCTCCTTCCTCACGTGGATCTGGGAAATGCTCCTCAGCTCCTCACCTTCCCACACAAATGAAATACTTCCTGTGGGTAGCAAGGCTGAGAGAGCCCATTTGGTTCACTTGCTCAGCTGGCTGCTGAGATGGGGCCTGCTTTGCAAAAGCCTTTCTGAATTTCCAGCAAAAATCAGCTCATGTCTGACTGGGGCTTCAGCATGCTTTGTTTGGTGAGGTTTGGGTTTTTTGTTGGTTTTTTTTAAGCCTGTGTGTGTTTACAAAGCACAAATCATAGCAAGGGCTTTAATTCTCCCCAGGTGAAACTGAGTCAAAGTGACTTTGCCAAGTCACCAGGAAGCTGCAGAAACCACACATATTCTTTGGACCTTGTGAAGAAAGGACCACAACCTTTATCAGTTTGTCAGAGGCAAGCTCTCAGCTTTGTCATTTTGAGCTATTTTTAACCACTTTTTGATCCCAGATCCTAGAAGAATGCATCCTGGGAATAACACCAGGTGCATTGCAAGGCAGAGGACAACATGTTTCATATTTATCGCTTCTGATTATCAACACTTTGCCTCTGGAGGATCAAAAATACCCAAACCCAAGAACATTTATTTAACTGGGAAGCTGATACCATTCCTACAACACAAAATGTGACCAACTCTCAGAACTGCTGTGCTGGAAGTTGGTTTTGCCCTGAAAGCTTTCAGCCCAAAACCTTGCTGTGTTTTTATGAGCTTTTCACCAACGCTCCTGAGCCCAGCTGAGCCCAGGCTCTCTAAGGCCTCACAGATGTGCCTGAAGCTCAGCACAGCAAAACCAAAGCCTAAGAACAGCTTTCACTGCACTGCCTCTGTGGGCTGCTTTGTGGGTTTGTTTCTCAGAGCAGCAGATGAGCCACGGGGAGCTGGGAGCATCCCTGTGCACACAAGCATCCACATCCTCAGCATGCCAGAGCCAGGAGAGGCAGCACCTGAGCCCATCACTGGGCTCAGCCAGCTGTCCTGGGGAGCCCCAGCAGAGCAGAAAGGCAGAGGCACAGCAAATGCAGGCAGGAGAGCAGGGCAATGGAGCGTGTGGGCTCAAACCACAGCCCTGAGGCAAAGGCAGCACCTCTCACATGGCCACTGATGCTGGCACAGCTCACAGCACTAATTCTGGCAGCTGGTTCTGCCCCCAGCTCCCCAGGGCTCCTCCATGGGGCTGTGCCCCAGACATTGCCACAGCACCAGCTGCAGCACTGCCCAGCATTTTCCATCCTGCCCGGTGTCTCACTGGCCCATCCTCCTGGCAGAAGCAGCCTGGTGTTTTTTTACAGAATCACAGAATCACTGGGTTGGGAGAGACCTCCAACATCATCAAATCCAACCCAGCCCCAACACCCAACTCAACCCTGGCACCCAGTGCCACATCCAGGCTTTGTTAAACACACCCAGGCATGGGGACTCCAGTACCCAGACCATTCCAGAACTTTATCACTCTTTCTGTAAAAAACTTCTTCCCAATATCCAGCCTGTATTTCCCCTGGTGCAGCTTGAGGCTGTGTCCTATGGCTCTGTCAGCGCTGCCTGGAGAAAGAGCCCAACAGCTTTGCTCAAACTCCTCAAGCCATAACCACCTTTGTTAGGGTGAGGAAAAGGCTTCTCCCAGCATGCCTTGCTGTGATATGCAGATTTAATGTATCCCATTGGCCCTTTCACCCCTGTGCCCTCATCCCATTGGCCCTGGTGTTCTGCTCCACCCCTCAAAATCCATATATAAACCCCTGCTTTCCCTCTTTGAGTCGTTTTTCACCCCTTGACTCTTGTGATGAAGAGGCTCAATAAAAGTCTCTTTGGAACCCCAGAGGAAGAGCTGAAATGACCTGGAGTGAGCACAGATGTGCCTGTTCCATCAAGGTGTTTTTTTCTAAGAAGCTTCTTCAGGAAAGCTGTGGCGCTGATGCTCCAGGAGCAGTCTGCTCTGCAGATGCTGTGCCTGGATCAGCTTTCTTCTCTGACACCAGAGCAGAGCACAGGAGCAATCCCTGGAAATTCTTCCCAGCAGCCAGATCACCCCAGAGAGATAAATCACAGCCTGGCTGGGTTTAGTCCCTGCTCTGTTTTGAGGCTGCCTGTTGTGTAACAGCAGGAACAACAAAATCTCGTGCCAGCTCTTAGTGCCTCCCCAGCCAAGGTGCCCTCTTGCACCTGCCTGCTACAACAGCAGGATTCTCCCCTCATTGACATGGGGACAGCAAGGAAATCACCACATCCCTTAAAATGTAGCTCAGGTGCTGTTCTTGAAGGGTTTCAGTTGGGATGGATTCTATGTAGGACCAAAATAATGAGTAGATTTTCCCACAAGGGAAAATGCTGATCAAAACAGGGCCCTGACATTATTTTTTCACGCTGGGAAAATATGCAGTGATGTTTAAAGCATGTCAATGAAATATTTGTATGGGTCTCTTTTAAACACAGCATATTTTGTAGATGACAATGACAAAAAGAAGTCATAGTAGAAAACTCACTCACTCCTCACCATTAAGGTAAGTGCCTCAGCCACAGTGCAGGCTCATATGCCCATCCTGACCCAGCCCTTCAGAGGAACAGCACAGTGAGGGTAGAAGTTGCAAAGGTCCCAGAAAGCAGGAAATGTGGCATTTTACAGGGGGCTGGAGGAGCCCAGCCCGTGGCCTCCCTTCTCTTCATGCAAGAGCAGAAATGCTGCCATGGCCCAGGGCACCCCATAGCCCCTGCTCCCTTCACTGCTGAGACCTGAGCACGCATCTCTGGGTGTCCTCCTGCCTTCTGGGCATGAGAAACACACACTGAGCAAGAAAACAAAAAAAAAAGAGCAGGGAGGAAAGGTAAAAAAACCAAAAATACTGGTGCAAGAGGAGCCAGCATTCTCCAGGTTGCATTTTCTCATCGACAGCTGCGTAGTCAAACTTTCAGAATGTATTTAAGAGGTTCCCAGGAGCCTCAGAAGGACCTTTGCTCCAAGGCAGGAGCACTGATGCAGCTGGTGGTTTGACAGTGCTGCAGAACCTCTCTTCATGTGCAGAGGGGATGGGGGAACCTCCTTTCTAAAAGAGCATGGAGTCAGTTTTCTAGTCAAGTTTATTTCAACTTTGTTTCTGCGTGGGGTCATTGAAAGAGCAACGATTGGAGTTTGGGAAAAAAAAACCACAAAAACCAAACCAAAACAAACAAAAAACCCCACCAAAAAAGCACCCCCAAAACAAACAAACAAACAAGCAAACAAAAAAAACCAAAAATGAACAAACCACCAAACAAAAAAAACCAAAAACAAACAAACAAAAAAAACCAAAAAACCAAAACAAAAAAAAAGAAACACAAAAAAACCCCAAGAAATCAACCTTTTCAACACCTAAAAAATATTTCCATAAGCAGCATACAATAACAGAGC